AGCATAAGCAAAGGACTTTGGATGGCCGACAGCTAATTTGTTTTAGTGCGTCACCTATGGATGTAATCTTCAAGCCATGGAAGCAAGTCAGGATTTGATGGCATAATGCAGTTTGAGAATGTGTATATATAAATTTCTGCATTTCTTGTTTGGGGTCTTTATTTCCCATTCATTATTTTTATCAAATCTTGATTTAATGAAAATTTTACCTTATTTTCCTTGGATTATATTTAAATATAAAGAAACCAAACTTGACTTCTAGATGCTTGGAAACACATTTGCATGGCCAGTCAACCTCTAAATATCCTCATGGTGGCCTGAACAGCCAAGACGAAGCCCCGTCTTTCAGACTTTTTGAAACTGGATGAGACCACACTACGGGTAATGGTTAGTAACAATGGGCATGTACGGGCACAGGCAAGTTGGTAAACAAAGGGCTCTCCACACTCAACTGCATCCAGGGCAGCTGAAATGCCCCTGGCAGCTCATGATGGGGTTGGGTCCCTTGTTGCAGGGATGGTCTTTGTCCAATCCTGTTCAACCTACCATTGGAAGGACCTATAAAATGTGTGCCTGAGGCCTTCCTGTACCCAAAATTCTGTTGTTAAGGGTTAAAATTAAGAAATGTCATAGTAGTCCCTACTTTATTATGAAATGAATGAAAGTGGTTAGGGAGAGGGAGAGAAAGGACACAAAATTTTCAGGCTGCAGAAGTCAGCTGCTTTCAAGGAAGAACTTCTTCAATCTAGAAACACCAAGGCGAAATACATGGCAAAATCCTCTTGTGTTCATACCAGAGCATTTTACAGTTGTTAAAGAATTAATCATCCGGCTGTTACTGGTGCTGTTATCAGCTTCATTTCACAGAAGGCAGCAGCTGGAATAAAGAGCTTAAATGGTCATGAAGAAACAGAATCTGACATTTATAGGAAGGTCTCAATAAAAGAAATCTTTCCCAATGGAAAAAGTCACATTTTTTAAGCTGCGTTAATGTAGAAGAACTATTATATGCTATAAAACAGTGTTCCAGTGTTGATCTGGCCTAAATGATCATGGTTATGAGTATACTTAAACAGCACTGAATTGTGTAATTAATTATATGACAAACCTGTGTGCATGGTAAGGAGGACAAAATCACGTCTTTGCAGTTAACATAAGCGGGTTGATCAGCCTTTAGCTTGTTGTAGGTGGTCATCGTTCGCTTTCAACACACAAGTCTCCAATGCACGTGTCGGGTAATTTGACTGTCAGAGCCAGACCAAGCAGCTTTTGTGAGACAACATGAGTGCTAATACCAGGACAGAGATGAACAAACTCAGGCCATGTGTGCAACCCAGTATCCAGTACATGAAAAAGCCACATCTTCTTGGGAGTCCATCTGGCCGTTTTGAACACCAGCCCTAGAGGCACAGCGCAAAAGGCTCTGTGTTGCATTGCTGTGCCAAAAAAATTCTCCTTTTTGAGTTCACTGGTGTTTCAGTCTTGTACCTCACATGGTACGAAGCAGAGTATTGTAAATTAGGGTGGAGGATCAGCGATAGCTTAAACTCAACATGGACTGAAGGGTTGTCCTGATGATGTTTTACTCTTAATAAGCTCTTGATGAGTGCATTTGACTCTGGGATTGTCTGCTGTGGGTTGAAAAAGGCACCAAAGCCTTCCCATTCCCCTATGAGTGTTTTTAAGCCCTTTAAAGAGAAAAAATAGGCTGCTCTGGCAGCAAATAGAGGTAACCACCAGCCTTTGGTAGATACTATTAATTAAAAATTAAAATAGCAAGGTAGGAGGTGAGGAAGAAGCGGTTGTTCTTGGCAGTGGGAGCCCTGAATGCCTGAAACTGACGAAACAACATCCTGGTTACTGAAAGTGCTCTCACTTCCCCTGAAGCACTAATTTGGCAAAATACCCCATCTCATGGGGCATCATGTGATGTAACATCCTTGTTTTCTGGAATAAGGCTTTTCTAGACGCTCAGTCACATTACTCAGCTCATTTATGCCATTGTTAGAGACTGTCAAAATGATGCTGGGTCATAATGTTTGAAACAGCAACCCAGAGTTTACTTCTAAGTATTTTCTCTCTTCTCCTGCATTGGAAAGTGTGTTAAAACAAGTCAATCTAATAAGCCATACACTGCTTTAATCAAAGGCTTGCAGGATGCTCACTCAACAGCATTTAAATGCTTCATTGTCAAAATTCTTGCTCAGTTCAAAGGGAGCAGCGTGGAGGCTTGCAGGAAGAAGCCAGCTCTAGGGAGGGAAGTTTATTACCTATTTTTCTTGGTAATTCTGCAGGAGAGCCTCTGCCACGCTGAGCGGTATTAATCCCTTAAACATCAGCGCTTACAGACTCCAGCCAGGAGGGCAACTTTGAACTTACAGTTTCCATCTTCCTGGGTGTGTGATAGATGTCACAGCCTCTGTGATGATTTCTGAAATAACACAGCTTCTCCCTTAGTAGCAAAATAGATAAATCCTTAGGACATTTCCTTGTTTCAGGTTCCTCACAAATTTGAAGTATTCTTTGGGTTATTGGCCCCAGAGCCCGCTCTGGTTGCTCAAGATCCCCTTTTAGCAGCTTTTCTGGATGCTAAGTCCATCCACTTGCTATTCTTGATGTTGGCTGTCTCAAAGCCAAATGGAGAAGTTTGGAACAGCAGGCTGTTTCTCTTTTATTTCCTTCTTGGTTTTTTTTTTCACCAACAAGTATTCATTTAACTCTCTTTATAGAGGAGGAGTATTGCTTGGGAATGGTTTCACTGCTGTTTTTTTACCCCCACCACCTTTGTTATAACTTGCATCCCACCTCCAGACTCTGCTAGTAGCTTCCTACAGCTTCATCAGCTCTCTTTAACTGACCTGGTCAGTATTTAGTTGTTAATGTGGTCTGCTTTTCTGTGATCTTGAATCTGGTGGCTATGAGCTTTTAAATATATTGGCAAAAGTGGCCTACTCATAGGATAGCAAGGTTTGGAAAGACATCTGGTCCAAAACTCTGCTTAAATCAGCTTGCTTGAGGCCTGGTGTAGCAGTTTTGAATGTCTCCAAGGATGGAGGTTCAACAACCCAACACCTTTAGAGGCACTCTGGTATGTGTTAACCTTAGCAGTAGCATAACCGGAATCCATAACTGCGCATTTAATCTTCCCAGTTACCACTCCTCTGAGAAAAGCCATACTGGTGAGTATCTGCCCTTGCTTGGAGCTGTCAGAGTAGCCTCCTTGCCCAGGGCCATCAGCTCCTCCAGCCTTGGGACCTCCCGTCCCTTTTCTGCTTTGTGGCAATCACTGCAGTGGGAGCTGCATCCATGCCTGCTGCCTCTTTTGAGGACATCAAGACACTTCAGTCATCTTTCACACTGTTTATGAAAAGGCATAGCTATTTACTCACTGATTCACTAATCTTTCTATAGGACCGTTTTTCAAAGCAGCTTCAACAAACCATTTTCACAACTAAGAACCCAGCACAATTTTTTTTTTTTAATATCTGACAAGAAGTTTTCCATCTGCCCCCAGAGAGAAGGAAAGCAGCGAGCTAGAAGAAGGAACAACTAACTTTAAAACCAGTACAGGAAGGACTATTCACCTTTTCCCCTTCTCTTCACCAGTACAGGAAAGATGATTCACCTTTTCCCCGATCTCTTCAGAACTTCCATATTTCAGCCAGTCCATGATAGAAAACGGTTTCTACTTACTCATGACCAGATTTCTACTTTTGGCACCATTTCTTTGTTTTTGGATGGACCTACACAGCTTTTGCCCTGCAGTTATTGATGGGGCTTCTCTGATGAGTTGCACCGCAGCCTTGCTGAAGGGCCTGAGATCAGAGGGGAACCACGCGATCCCAGGGCTGCAGGGCAAGGGCATGAACGGTTGCCAATGATCTATTTAGAGAGGGAACAGGCAGCCACAGGGCACATGAGAGGGGGCTGTGTCCGGCTGTAGCACTGGGAGAAGAGTATTAAGGTAGCAGACAGAGACCTGGGAAATGTCTAGAGGAAGAAAAGTCAATAATTTTTTTTTTTTAAAAGCTAAGAAGAGCTTTCTTTTCAATTACAATATGAAAAAAAGAAAGATGGCAAAACTCCCCTTTTATTAGAAGACAGGCTGTATAATCATAGAATCATAGAATAGTTAGGGTTGGAAGGGACCTTAAAGATCATCTAGTTCCAACTCCTCCACAATGGGCAGGGACACCCTCCACTACACCAGGTTGCTCAAAGCCTCATCCAACCCGGCCTTGAACACTTCCAGGGATGGGGCATTTACAACTTCTCTAAGGCAACCTATTCCAGTGCCTCACCACCCTCAGAGTGAAGAATTTCTTCCTTATATCCAATCTAAATCTCCCCGCTTTCAGTTTAAAGCCATTGCCCCTTGTCCTATCACTACACGCCCTTGTAAAAAGTCCCTCTCCAGCTTTCCTGTCGGCCTCCTTTAAGTACTGGAAGGCTGCAATAAGATCAGACCGGAGCCTTCTCTTCTCCAGACTGAACAACTCTCT